GTGAGTATCGTGCAATCCAATTTTCTATTGTTTTCAGCTTTGGAATCTCCTCAACATCTAATTCTCCTGCTTCTGCTCTTTTTTCCAAGTTAACTAACATCATCGTGACAGTAAATTTCTGTTTTTTGTCAACATTTCCACTCAAGAAGTAAGTTTTCAAAAGATTTCTAACCTTTTCAGTCATATGTTTTCTGGCATCTTGTTTGTCAAATTCTTGTTGTTCCTGAAGTGCCCATTCCAAATTAAAATAGATTGCCCTTTTTTTATGATATACTTATTATTATCCCGATAATTCAGTAACTAGCATTTGTAATTTACTTACTGCAACTTATGATCTGTTTCTTTTTCAATATCATCACTTATATCTTGATTAATACGTCGTTTTTTCTTTTTTGGTTCTGATAATTTTGGGTTTGCTGATATTACATTGGTCAATGTTGAATCTAGCAATTGTATTTCTACAAAAACAATTTTTCAGATCAAACATAATAATTCAAGACAGTTTATTATCAAGGTACCTTTGATTTCATTTAGTATTTCCTCTCCAAAGCTTTTTTATAAAGTTATCACTAATTCTCACTTGTTTTCTTTATCCCTATAGTCAATCTTTCGTTTTTCAAGTTCATTCTTGATCGCTTCCTTTGACCAATAATTTGGATTTGAAACTTTATAACACCAATATGCAATCAGTAAGTATAAAAATTACAAAACCAGACACAATACATACTTTTATTTGATAATGGCACTATCCAGTCTGATTGTGGAATGGTGCAATCAGATGTTTGAGGATTCGGCTTTGTGAATTCTTGATTTTTGATCGCTTTTTTGACATCCGAAACTGAAAATGTGTTCCATTGATCGAATCCAGGTAGTGCTCTAGCATAAACATGACCAGCATATTCACCTTCTGAAGGTTAAACGAACTGAAACCAATTTGTGATTCCATCCAAGGTAACTATATTTGATAACCATTTTTCTGGCCATTTATCTGGGTTCAAATTTGCAATAGATATGTCATTAATATTTTTTACAGCCTCTACTATATCATTACCATTGCGAATATCATATCCAAGACGAACATGCCGTTTGATCGCATGCGAAATCTAGGGAACATTATGCATTAGCAGTGTAGCATATTGCGAAAATGTTTGGAAAATACTTGCCTGTGCATGGTGAGAATCAATAGTTGTTTTGGTTTCACCGGGCTCTAGAAAAATCCATGATTTTATACTTATTCCATACCAAAGCTCCCATTGACTAATTATCAACATTAATTGCTTGTTATGATAATGACCGCCATTATCAGATAACACCTCGATCCATGTTGGTTTCTTTTTCATAGTCGAAAACAATGCATCAAAAGAAGATACAGTAAACCACGCATCTTGTATAGGATCATCTGACCAATGATCAAAAGCTTCCACGTTCAACGAAGTAGAATTTGCTTGTTTTGTATAAACGAGTAAAGTATGGAGAGTAAATTCTTTTTTGCCAAAAAAATCTTTTTTCACCTCTCATGCTGATTGTGGCAAAATCTTAATTTTATAATCAACTACAATGATAGTACAATTTTCGTCAAGACGAAGCAAGGCAGCATTGAACTGTGTGTTGAAATAAGTTTTTCTTGCTTGGTGGGCCCAGTAATAATGCAATTTGGCATGATTCTTAACGATTTCTTTTTTTTTCTCAGGAAGCATTTCTAGAACTTTCTGAAAAATGCAATCAACTTGTTCACAATGATTATATTTATCAGAATGTTCTTCATTACAATCTCCAAATACAAATTTCAAACAATGTTCATAACAATTGTTATGTATCGCATGACCAAGGATATCGATTACCAATTCTTTCTCGTATTCTCGTTTCAAATGGCGTTGAGTTGTCTTAAGCTGGCAAATTAACTGGTGCTAAAAATAAATTCAATCAGATAAGTCTGTTAGTAAATCATATTTGATTAATAACTTTATATGAACCTGAATATCTTTGTTTCCAATTTTTTCCTTGACTAATTCAACCATGTCTTCAAAAGTGCCAAATTCATATTCATTACATATAGCACACAATTCACCAAGATCATCACGATAAACAAAACGACTATTTTCCAAACGTGCCATAAATGAAGTACGCTTCATGCCATTAGGATATGTTTCAAGAAATTTTTTCCATAATGAAGTCTTGTTTTCTTTGAGATATAATACTGGTAGGCCTGTTTTTGTATCAACTTTATATGAACTCATATTCACATTATTTTTGTCATTAAAAAAAATGTGAAATTGATCAAGCATTTCTTTACTCATTTATATTCTTGTAAATATAGGTTTTGTTAAAGCAGGACAACCTGATCCATTAATCGTAGCATACAATTTGGCTCTTGAAATTGTTTTTGAAGATATCTAAAAAGTTATAATTTTAATGAATTTTTTTTATCATTTGATTACTAAAAAATTTATACTTACTTTCAATTTTTCAATCAATTCTTCATGGGTAAAACTATCAGCAATTATAGATAATATCCGAATCTTTCCATTATGACCTCATTTATTTTTTGAAAATGAATGATCGAAACATTTCCAAAACTCTCGGGTTGCCATTTTTTCATAAATTGGTGTTGAAATGAGAAATCCTTGATGATATAATATTTCTAAGGTACTCTGATCTTTTGATATATTTGGTGCGCAACTTCAAAATTGATACTATTTTTTTAAATTGTTATTGAGTATATAAATATATATAATTTACAAATCTTTTATATACCTTAGATTCTTTCTTGGCAAATGGTGTAATGTTTATACAACCAGTTGCTTTGAGCATTGCTTGCCAAGCTCGAAGTTCATGTTCTTTGAATTGATAATTTGGAGGATAAATCTTTGTCAATGTATGGTATAATTCTATTATTGTATTGGTGTTTTTCTTTCAATCAATAAAAAATTGATACCATTCAATATTTGTAATAGTTTGGTGAAAAGGTGATACTTGTAAAGATAGTTCATAATGTCTTTGTTTTTCCAAAGTGTTATATCACATTTTGGTGTTTGGTGTTTGGCTAATGTCTGATGTATTAATGGATGCTCTAATCCAAAAAGTTGAGTGCCACGATATTTTTTGAATTTTTTTGATAATATCCAAACTGAATTCGGTGTAGATTCAATGTAATGTTCTTTCATTATTTCATTTTGATAGATTTCGATATAACATCCATCTATATCAATGCGTTGTATATAGATAACTTGCTCTCTAATATAGTTTCCAATAAATGATGCGGTATATCCAATTCTGGCAATGTCATTTTCAGTATCATTTGAATCCAAAGCTATAATATAAATGCGATATTTGTTCACTGTTATAAAAAAAGGTCGAAACTCAACTCCATCCAGTGATTGTTCAAGAATACTTGGATTATCCCATCCTAAAATTTGAGGGCCGGAAAATTTGGTGCTTGTATTTGAAACCAAACACATATAAAGAGATGTAATAGCAGGACTAGGTGAACTTTCAATATTACTAAACTTTAGTTCTGATTGACATTGATATCCAGAATAGTTCTTATGTTGTTTATTTCCTTCAAGAACTTGAGTATAAAAACATTTGTTATTGATTTCCAAAGCTGTTTGCCACCCAATGCATATTGGATAAAGATAAACACCTTCTTGAAGATTGTTTTCACCTCTTGCTGTCCACT